TTTTGGGTATAAGAACCCCAGGCATCAATCATGATGGTTTACATGAATCTAGCAGGTCTTTAAAGAATTTTATACCGCTGCACGTGTAGTACCTATTAGACGGGAATCCAAATTGGGGCGGGGGTTTGAATGTGGTACTTTTTGATTCGTACCTCGGTGTAAGCTCTAATACTGTAATATTTGTACAGTTTCAATTCCCTCTTACCTATTGAATAGGTAAAGGAACTCTAATAACCTCATAAATCGTGCTCAAATATTTAAAATCTTGACATTAAATTTCAATTTAAGGGGCCAAGGTGTAGAGTTACGTAAATAAAATAAAAGTCAAACAACGTAAAAGTCTAAAACACTAATACAATTGGCAATAACAATATTCTAAAAAGTTGCAAAAACCATAGAAAGGCGTATGAAATTTGTCAATTCTTGAAAAATCTTTTTTCATGACACTTTATAGCACAGGCGCAATTACTTAAATTACACTCCTTTGAAGGCATCTGTATACCGTTGTCTTGGTAAAATGCTTCACCACTTAGGCGAGCTTTTTTGTTTTTTTTTCTCTTCCAATTTTGTGGATTGGATAAACCACGCTTGGCACGTTTTTGCATTGAATTCACTGCATCTGGCACTTCGGGTGGTGGGCCAACATCATCTCGAAGGTCAGTAGGCCTAACTTCAGCGGGATAGCCTAAATCACGTTGAACTAAAATAGGCTAAGTCTCAGTCTATAAAACATTAGTAGACATGGGCTGGCCTATGTTCACCGGAAAGTTACTGGGCTTATTTTCTTTTTCTATGCCTTTGGAAGAATTAAATAAATCCATATTAGGCCTAATTTGAATACCGCTAGGTGGAGTGTTAGCTGATGTACTACATTTGCTACTAAACATAGGCCTAGCTAGGTAGGCCTTTGTTAGTTTGAAATACATTATTTTCCTCAATACCATTTGGTACAACATTAGCGGTAGTATGCCGTAGGCCTATGTTAACATGTACTTAACTGGTTTCTGTAGCTTTACAAGATTTTTCACAAGTCATAACATTAGGTTTTGTAACTACAGTATTATTATCGTCATCATCAGATTCAGAATTATACAGTTTTAAACGTCTTTTTACTGTCTTTCTATTTAAGATGTCTGTTAACCTATTACCTTTGCTATAATCATGGTCCATTTGAACTGGAGAAAAGTCCAGGTCCTCATCTGTGTCATCTGCATCACTACTTAAATCTAAACCTAAATAATTATCTAGTTCCACCCTTATACTTCTTTCACTGTTTAACAACACTTTTTTATCACACTTAGGCCTATTCATCTTATAACCAAATTCACTGAAAACAAGCTACACATCAAAACCAACTATAGTCAAAACATTCTAACCTGTAAATAAACATTAAGGAGGGAATACACAACATATGTTTTCATTGAACTAAGACCTACATAGAGTATAAAGGCGAATAGAGCAAAAAAATATCACAGTTTAGTCTATTTTGACGTTAGAACAAAATGCCATTTGGATTAACATTGTTCTAATGGGCGATAGTCCAAATCTGCACTTAATTTTGTGGGTTCGTCCATTCTGCCTAGAAGAAGATGTGTGATAATGCAATTTGGACCAAACATTTTTTGTTCTAGATAAAAATACAGATGATAGAGCAGATTTTTCTTCACCAGCAAGGTATACCAATCTCAAAACTGAAAATTTGTGGATTAGTCCACTTTGCCTTTAGAGGCTTCATATTAAATACAACTTATTGCTGTTTTATATTTTGTGTAATTATTGTGCGAAAGAACGTGTTTTAAGAGTATTATTTTAAGAGTATTAACAATCGTAATTTTTATCTTTTTTTGTAAGAAATTTTTAATACTATATTTTGGCACACAGCATCAAAACCCTCGAACAAATTCGTAAAAAAATAAAATTCCCAGCAACCTATTTAATGATGGTAAAAAACCATTTCGCGACCATGAACGATTTAGTGTTATTGCACTTCTACCAGCTCAAAAACTCTTTCCGATTTTGAAAGTGTAATAAAGAGTACTTTTGTAAGTCTGCACTGCAATGATGAACAGATTCTCTCTTTAAAGTATGAAATAACAAAGATAACTCAATCCCTAGCTTTACTTGCTGTTGAGCACACTCTCTGTTGTTATTAAATCGGCTTTGGAAGGTACAGTATAAATGTTACTGACGACGAGCTTTCTAGATAGAGATGCATTTATATTCTACTTTAATGTGATAGAGTAAATCATATTTTAACTTCCTCAGATGACATTAGATTTCTAATTAAACTGAAATGTATGAAATACTTATTGAAAGAAAAGGATTTTCGCCCTCTTTCTTGAGACGTATAGTTTTTTATTTCTAAATACATAACATACTAGCAGAGTACCCGTCCTTCGTACGGGGTTGGAATATAAGTATAAAATGCTCTTTGCAGTTATAATCAAACTTTGCGTTTGCAATAAGTTAGGACACAGTTTGATAAAATTTGCTTTTTTAAATTTACAGTATTCTATAGTACAGGGTGGCGCAGAAGAATCGGGTGGTTTTAAAATACTCGTCAAACTGTCAATTTTAAAGGTATTGGATTGAAATAAAGTGCAAAACGTGTAGTTACAATGGAAATTTATTGACAAAAAATTAGTTAAGTTAGTTTTTAAAAATTACATCCATCAAAAATGCCTTCCTTCTCGAGCGACGCATTCTTGGAGTCGGCCCTTGAGGTTCCGCATTGCTCGCTCAAGCACATCACCATGAATTAATGTGATTTCGTTGTGAATTGCAAACTTTCAACTCCTGAAGCAAGGGTCTACATGAACAAACCCCGGACCATTCAGGAGTTGAAGGCTGCAATTCACAACAAAATCACATCAATTCCTGGTGATGTGCTTGAGCGAGCAATGCGGGACCTCAAGGACCGACTCCAAGAATGCGTCGCTCGAGAAGGAAGGCATTTGATGGATGTAATTTTTAAAAACTAACTTAACAATTTTTGTTCAGTAAACTTCCATTGTAACTACACGTTTTGCTCTTTATTTCAATCCAATACCTTTCAAATTGACAGTTTGACTAGTATTTTAAAACCACCCGATCCATCTGCGCCACCCTGTATTACACATCTACCATAGCCATAATGTTCTACCACTTCACCTATAGAGAAAAATTAATTAACAAAAATTCGCAAAATATCACAAATTATTCATGAAATGAAAAACATAAACATAACTGGAAACAATCCTACTTTGACAGTTCTCATTGCGAATCGCAGTTTTTTGTTGCTGCTTGGTTCAAATTAGCTGTTTTCATAAATGCAAAAAAAAATATAGTGCTGCACCCTGTTGGTAAATCTTTTAACTTTGTAATGCTTTTCCATATCATAGAACCGACTTTTTTAGTTGAAACAGCTGACTATAGTTATTTGTGCAACTAGTGAGAAAAGTGAGCAATTGACTCACTCGAGAGAAATCCTTACTCACGAGCCGTAGGCGAGTGAGGAATGGTTTCTCGAGTGAGGCAATTGTACTTTGAACTCGAGTTGCACATTATACTTTTCCTACAGTTACAATAAAACAAATAAATTGGTGAAGAAACATAACCTATTATTACACAGAAGTGAACTTTTAATATAACATTTAACGTTAAGTGACAAATACAACAGTACAACAGCTGACCAGCTGATTTACAGCCAGTGCTGCCAACGTATTTCGCGCGCATACGACGTTGCCTGCATGTTACGCGCTCACTATTTCGTGCCTTCACGTTGCAAATCTGGAGTGAGACAAAGTAATTAGAGTGAGACAATGTTAACATTGTCTCACTGATGAGCGAATTGGCCACTTTGCTTCCTCAAATCAGTGAGAGTACATGTACATTGTTAGGTAACTGTAGGAAAAATTCTTTAATTCCCTTTAAATATGGATACTCATAAGGTTAACATGTGGAATTACAGAGCCACCGGGGCGGAGCCTGAAAGGATTTTTTAGATAAGAATATGCCTATATGTTAATCGGGAATGTAAGCTATCATCATGCCAAAAATCAGCCCAATCCGTCTAGTGGTTTATGCGTGATTGAACTTCAAACACACAAACAAACAAACAAACACACAAACTTTCACATTTATAATATTAGTAAGATAAGGTGGGTTCCGACAGATCTGGTCACTGGATTATCACGTCGGTAAAACACACGAATATTACAACATAAACTACATGGATTTAAACATAAACAAGTTACGTCACTAGCAGAATTTGGACGACACTTCCTTTTAGTCATGTAAAATAATGTTTACTTTCGGGCCAGTGACATCATTTGTTTACTTTTATCGCCCTTACCGTTTCTGTTCTAATATATGTGGTAAAAGCAAAAGCTAAATGAGATTTTAACCCGGGTCTCTAAAACAGCTATTTTTATATTAACTGTAAAAAACTGTTAAAACAAAGTATAGAACATACAAACAGAGTACCTTGATATATTCTGATGTAGTATTTACAATTAAAACCATAGCAAGTGATCAACGACAGACAGTTCACACGTAGGCGTGGTTGATCGTAATGCTACATTGCAACACCAATAAATTCTTTCACAGTTAATTGTAAATGTTTTCTATTATATAGGTTTATTGGTTAAAAAGAACGTAAAACTGTCTTGTGTGTTTAAATATATGTTTTTGTTAAGTTTATTTATCCAACTACTACATCACTCGATATCATTTAAAATAATTAAAAACCCCGTTTTTTCCTCAGTGTTTTTTGTATATATATAGTGTATCTATAACTTGTACATTTTGTTTATTTTAAAAACACAACTTACAGTTGATTCTGATGGTTAGTTAGTTTAAATGGTTAGATCATTAAAAACCAATTCAGTACCAAACTTTTCGTTTTTTTACTCACTAGAAAATGTGCACTACTGTAGATGTGCCACTATGTAGTGGCGGTGCTACATGTTCTTAGTTCTTACTATCTTGCTGAAGTGCATCTCACCAGCTGATGTTCGCAGAGACCTGATGCTCGCGGGTACCCAGCAGTCGGTTGAGCTGAAGTTGGCCTTAGACCAGGAACAGCAGAAGTCAAAGAAACTCGAGGAGTCGATGAGAAAGCTGGATGATGAGATGCGACGAACAGACGAGCTGCTTTACCAGATGATTCCTAAGCAGGTGGCGGATCGGCTGCGGACGGGCGAGAACCCCATAGATACTTGTCAGGTACGCGAAAACCCTCTAATCACTTCCCAGATTGAGGATAACCTATACACTCTTTCCTGTAGACACTTGACAGGTCAGTTAAACCACCCTTCTTTCCAGTTGGTCAAACCTCTATGCCTACGTACACTTTTCAGGTAGACAAATCCACACTTGCTAGGTTGTTCAAACCCTTTTATATACTAAGAGTGACATACACTTTTCGAGTTGGTGAACCTCCTTATTATTTGTGTTTCTCTCGTCACCTTGTAACAACATTTTAATCGTTGTCAAATATAGGCCTAATAGATCACACTCCAATTGAACTCGTTTGGCATGCTCTCAAGTCTCTCAAGTTCGATAAATGTTAGTCATTTTTAATGTGACTCACTTACAAATACGTCAATTTGTGCTTGTGTATATCCACAACATTAGATTTTTTTTGTGTTTTTAAGGGAACGGTCCAAAATGTTGGTCTTGATACTACACTCATCTCCATTCATACTTGGCTTAAAATACCTACATTGTATGGTCGCCATTTCATAAGAAAGTATTAAAGTATTTAACGTCGAATATTTGTTTTTAAATAGCATCATTTATTGGTAGCCCAAAGGCAAATGGCATGTGGGTCTTGTAAAGATCTCTGCTTGAACCGGGTGTTTATATTAAAAAGTATATTACAGATATACAGTATACCAATTAGCCGCGTGGCTAACAATAACAACAATGAGACAATGATGCGTTCAAAAAGGTTTTTTTTTAATGTAAGGTACCTTGTTTTTTGTCATAAAAAACTTAACGAAACTAATCTAACATAACTTAAACTAATTACCTTAATATAACTATCAAACCACTATAGAACACTGTGAAAGAGTGACATGCATATTCTTAAAAAATCCGGTACGTACGAATTATACGGAGGCAACTTATTTTACAGCGCGCTGCGGCGGTTGGGTTAAGTTGGGTTATCATAAATATGTTTCTAGAACTTTCCTAGTTTCGTTATGAATCGAACTATACGAGATGAGTCATAAAAACTTATGATAACCGAACCTAACCTAACCGCCGCAGCGCGCTGTAAAATAAGTGGCCTCCGTATAATACGTAAGTACCAAAAATCCCTTCGAACTTACAGTATTTATTACAGTACATGAACCATATTATATATTTACAAAATTAATTGCAAAAACGTTTTGAATATTTTACAGTATTTTTTATCTCGTTCTTAAAAACCGTAAAATGTTTAAATCAAACAGTTCGAGATCTTGAAATGGAAGCTCGAGCCAGAAAATATTCCTTTTGGCCCTTCACATTAATCTGTTTCCATGTTTTGGTTTATTTCAGATGTTCGACAGCGTGTCTATTCTGTTCAGCGACGTTGTGACGTTTACAGAGATATGCTCTCGCATAACGCCAATGGAGGTGGTGTCCATGCTGAATGCTATGTACTCCATCTTTGACACGCTTACTGAGCGGAACAGAGTGTACAAGGTACGGTATTATGTGTTAAAGCTATAAACAATCTGTTCAGTCAGTTATCACATAAGCAACAACTAAATTAAAACGCTTAAAACTTGAACTTTTATTTGTCCTGGGAAATTTGTTAAAGTTAGGTATTAGATTGCATACACCAAACAGGAACATAATGTACCAATACCAGTATCAGCTTCACTCGTGCTTTGCAGCTTGATTGGAATGTATAGGAGAAAGATGTTTAAATTCAATATAAAATAATTACACAAACCTACTGATGATAATATCAATTTAACTTAACCTTTACCTAGTTCCAACCTTGAATTTTGCAGTCAAACGGAGCATAGTCAAATGCCTGATGGTCACAAATGAGCCTGTCACAGAATATGTTACTTAAAAAATTATAAACGCTATCTTAATGTTTGGTACTATGATATTTGAATATTGTCCCTTCACTTTATCAAGATAAGCAAAAGTTCATAAGTTCATAAGTTTGTAATAAAATTTGCAATATTACAACAACTCTTTGCGTTAGACCAGTTTTATGTGTGAAGAAAAGACATAAACATCAGTTTTATTATTATTTAGTATGGATTATATTAAGTATCACAAAATAGAACATACACAATTTGGAATATATTTTACTAACTCCTTACTGTTCATTGTATCATTGTATGCATTGGTGATGTGAGTAGCATATTGATTATACAAATAAATGATCTTTTGTAATGATGTCAGCCCCAACAAAGCTGTACAATTAGACTTGATTGCATAATAATGTTCTATAGGAATACATGTGAACATGTCATGTAATACATTTGATTGTAGTCAACTATTGAATCCCAGTTGGTTTATAAATGCAAATACCCACACAGCATGAGTCACGTGTCTTAAGCTCTTTGTTAGTAAAGGTTAGCATTGAAACACAATCCTTGGAATGTTTTCTCTGTAAAACTAAATTTGTATAAACTTTAAAATGTTATTGGAAATATGATATGAAATTATCATGTTTTTAACAAGGTGTTTTATACAAATATCGTTTTAAGATGTAAAATTAATGGTAGATATCTAACGTCTATAAGAATAAAACGAAGTTTAAAGAATATGTCAAAAAGATTTATATTATTATTAAGATTTGTTGCACTATTGGCACATTTTATTTTACTAGTTTATGTTTAAGTAAATGTAACCATAAGCATCTTGGCATTAGTAAATTTAAAAGCTGCTTGAAATGTATTTGTTTGCTTTCACTTATTAATTTTAGTCTCACTGTGGCCATTTATTTGAAAACAGGTTTTATGGTACGCTGAATCTAAAAAAAAACTAATTCCTGTTTTGTCACTAACAACAGATTTATTTGATTTCGGTCACTGAAACAATCTCATCTAAAAATCCAGCTCTTAGCTTGGAGTTTTCTATCAATATTGAGCTAAAAACTAGTTTAAATACTCATTTTAAGAGGATCCAGTTCAAAGAATCTTTCAACATTTGATATTGTTGAGGATTTACATGGTGTTTATAACTTTACATATCGTGATAGTTGACAGAAAGCTGGAATTATTAAAAATATTTCCTCTAAGAAACAAATGAGTTTTAAAAAATATCACTGTAACGATTGTGTGGTTTCAGTCAAGTCAGTTGTTCGTTCTTATACAAAAGCAACGAAACGGGTATTTTAAATTAGTTTACATACATCGCGGGTTTACATTACATAAATTACATTACATGTAATTAGTTTACATATACATATACTAATTGCGGGCCCAAAGTAGTTCTCATCTTCCTGAGAGCTAAAAAGGATAGCCTAGTGTTTACGATATTAGGCGTAAGTTTTGAAAACTTGTACGTTCGTTCGGTCTTCAGGGGGTAAAAGTTCCTATGAATTCTCTACAGTTTAGAAATCAAAATTTGTAGTGGACCATGAAACATTCTCAACTATTTTTAATAATATCATACATTTTATTTTTAAAAGTCGATCAATAATTATTTCTTAATATAAGATTGTTCTTTAATTATTAATTATGAGCAAAAATTGCTTCCTTATAAGCGGAGGAAAAATTGATATGGATTTGAAATCTTATAATAACTTTTCTAATAAAATTGTATGTCATTCTAGAAGAGATTAAAGTAAAGCAATATGTGGTATTTGTAATATATATATATATAGGTATTTGTAATATATGTAAATTCTTATGCATACAACAATAAAAAACGTCCAGCCTGAATCCTATGCGTGGTAAAAATATTTTTTAAACCACTGTCTTGTATATTTAAAACGAAACTTAAATTGATTCACGACCATTAAAAACACTAGGAAGACAAAATAATGATCTAGTCTAAAGAATGGCACAAAATGACGAATAATATAGTCCTTCTCACAAACCAATTATGTGATCAAGACCCTCACTTATTTCTCACACCAATCGTTAAACATGAACTTATAATGGGTTAATGTATGCCCTACAGATAAAACATACTTAAATAGGCCACGACTTTAACACGCTGCTGAAGTATCTCCATTTGATTGTATGATCACTTATAGAAATAGTCAACCGGTTACATAATCAAGAGTTTAAAAAGTTGTGCTTTTATGTCCAGAAGGATTTATACTATGATACAACTCAATCTAGTAAATTTTCTACAAAGCTACCAATACAAATCTTAATCATAAACATATTCTTTATAAGTTAAGGAATCTATTTAAAATGCGATTATGAATTGGTTATGATCTTCTATAATATTAAAACGAAACTGTGTTTTTTTATTTCACGATTCTGAATCAACCACTCGACGGATTTTCATGATTTTTGTGTTGAAAGGAAGATAATTTTGAGAACTAGGGAATGTCGAAGCCATAATTTTAGTTTAGGGTCCCAGTTTTTTAGAAATTAGTTTTAATTTTCAAAAAGTCTAGCAGCCGACACTAAGATTCTAAACTAGCTTTTGGCATAAAATAATTTGCTTAACATAACAGCTGTAAACATTCAGCTTTTGTGTCACAAATTCAGCATTTGGATAAAAATGTAAAGACATACTTAGGGTTGACTTATTTATACTATTTGTAATGCTAATCATCGATACGTTCAATTTATTTATTTATTTATTTATTTACAGACGGAAAACTCCATTTTCATACATACAATCATGGCAAGAAGTTTCATTCAACTTACATAGAACAATTCATACATCACATCAAGATGACCTGACTAAAGAACCCTAATAAATAAGAATGTATCAAAATATATCAATATATATAACAATAAGATAACAAAAAATAACAATGAATAGCAATGAATAACAATAAATAACAATAAAAAACAATAAATAACAATAAATACAATAAATAACAACAATAATTAACAATCAACATGGGGAACAACAAATTTGGTAATTAGCTAACAAGATAAAAAATCAAAAAACAAGTGAGGATCACTATATTGATTAATATAAGTGCAATATACAGCAATATTGCAATATAGAGCAATAAAGCAATATACAGTTGTCAATTGAAACATTATGATTTGGCGAAGGTACTAATAGTTTCTAAAAAGGTCATTATAACCTCATTATTCAAGGTCATTATTTAGGGGGCGAAGTTTGATTTATTTAAACGGTTCACTATCCGTTAGATGTTAACCAAATTTCTTTATAACGGCTTAATGTTAGTTGTAATGGAATAACAGCTGATTCTTCAGTTGTAAGATAGTTACCAGGGACGAAAAAGTTTATGAAAATTACTTTTATGATATTAGTCCAGTAAATCTGTCAGAAAATATGGGGTTGCTGTGCAAAAGGTCGGGTAGTTCTGATTTTTGGATATGTTGTTAGTATTGGGACCATAGCATAAAATCCAAGTTATCCACCTCGAGATACTGCCGCTCGCCGCGGGGCGCGCCACTTGTTATCGAAATATTTAAAATATGGCAATTCTTATTGTTTTTCACTTAATCTCTCGAACCGTTGATTTTACCGAAACTTTTATATTATTACATTAAAGAAGAATAAATTTGTGACAGTTTAAGCCCAACAGCAAGTATGTAGCGTAAATAATGGTCAAAATACAGACCATCAAAATAAATAAATTTTCCAAAGACGTATAGAAATTGTGTTTTTTTCCATATTTCCACAATATAGTTGTTTGAAGCAAACACCGTATTGATTTAGAGAGTATAGCAGTTTATTTGCTATTAATAGAAAATAAATGAAAGTATGAATAAAAATAACCCCACCTCAGCAAACCTGCAGACTAAGCTAATTTCTATTTGCTTGATTTGATCTTCACAAACCTATTTAAATAACATTAGGTTTAACTGGTACCTAGGTTTGCTGCTACAGGGAGGGTAATATAGTATATAAAATAATAATAGTATGATAAGAAACAAATAAATTTACCCAATTTTATAAAAATGTGTCTATAAATAAGGAAAAAACAATAATTAAATCTTCGCTATTGGAATAACTTGAGGTTTTTTAATTTACATTTTTTTAATTTTCTCCATAACCAATAAATGATTTGTTTTTAAGCTCTACGAAATTCTTTAATGATACAATTGTAAAATTGTATGTTTTGAGGGTTAAAAATTACAAAAAATATTCTTACTGGCAAAATACCTATAAGGCAACCGTTCCTATGGCCTTATCATGCCGATCATGCTTTGCGAACTCGTTTTAATTAATAAATGTACGTTATACATGACGTGATCTCTTGATTCACTAATAAAAGTAATGTTTGTACCTAATTTCACTAAATCGGATGATTTTTGGGAATCATCGTGCTAACGAACGATAATAACTTTTTTGGATACAGTTTATGAAAATCTTTAGTTTTTTTTTATACAGGGTCTCCTAAAAACTCACCTAGTTTGAACATTTATTTATTTATTGTACTAGATACAAACTACTGTTCAACGACTGATACCATAGAGAAGGCTATGCTGATACATTAAATGAAAGATAATAAAATAAAAGTTATTTTAAGACTATCACACCTCATTATGCGACCCATTTTTAGCTCTGCA